TCGAAGAAACGATCATTATCATATGAAATGCAGCTGGATGTTGAAGAAGAAGAAGAAGAAGAAGAAGAAGAAGAAAAAAAAGAGGGGTGTCCAAGGGTAAGAGACTAAAAGAGGATGATGATGGATTCACTTTGACTAATTTTGCAAATATAAGGCGTCAAAATGAGCCTTTTGTTTATGCATCTCAAGTTGTGCAAGTATTTTACGTAGATGATCCGAGCGAAAAAGATTGGCATGTGGTTGTAAAAACTAAGGCTAGAGACAAGTATGATGATGTGAAAGACTTATGGGCTGACGATATTGACACTATTTTACAAAGTAAAACTTGCAATGATCGTCCTATTATTGAGGATGAAGCTGTTGTTTGGGTGCGAGACGGAGTCCCTGAAATTCCAGTGGATCACTTAGAAGAAAATCATGTAGAAGATACATAGGACGTGCTCAGCTGCATTTAGTATTTACTATTTTGTATTAGAGTTATTCTTTCTTATAATGATAATGAATGAGAATTTCTTTTCATGGACAATAACAGTAATGAATCATTAATACTATTATTGATCTTTAGATAGTATTTATGTGGCAATTTTTTTAATTTATTGATTATAATTACTAGTTTTAATAACTTTTCACTGTTAAGATTGAATTTACAGTTTGTTATATTTCAGGTATGGCAAGAATGAAGAATGGCATGCTGGTATCAGCTGGAACTCTAGATCAGCAGAATGGAGATACCTCAAGTAAGTTTTAATTATAAAACTGCATTATTTCTTTATTTATTATTCATGATATAAATTTTGTAGGAATGGAAAGCATAAGACGTGGTAAACGTGTCAGGCATGAGCATGAAAATCATCAATCTGATTCACATTCAAATGACTTAGAAAATGAGACACGTGATATGGTTTAAAAATATCAATAATAATATTAACAGTTTTGGACGAACTTGATTTCCTTTTTATTAATCAAAATTTGTATTTAATTTTGCAGAATTTTTTTGTGATAAAAAAACTAGAGGACCTACTTATATGGCTCGTGTTTGGGTTAGGAGAAGTCGAAAAGAAGTTGAGTTCAATGAGTTTCGACAAGCCATTGGTCCTAATAAAAGCGAATACGTGGAATTCATTGGTACGTTAGTAAGAAATGGTAAATTAGTTCCATTGAATATGACAGATCGGCATAATGTGCCAAAGCCATTGAAAAGCAAATTGTTGGAGTTAGTTAAGGTAATATGAAACGCTATTCTTCTTAATTTATTTTCTTATTTGATATATTGTGATATTTTGTAACTGCATTTTCATTTTGGTAATGTAGGAGAAGTTTTGTGATGCACCGAACTTTGAAAAGCACACTATGATGAATTTAGCTAAAAGTTGGAGAAATTGGAAGAATAGAGTAAAAAAAAACAATTCGATGAAAAATTACCATTGGAGCAAAACATGCGCAAACGTCCTGATGCTGATGATGAAAGAGTCTTCCCTGATCAATGGAAAGACTTGGTGCTTTATTGGAGCTCTGATGCAGCAAAAGTAAGTTAACGTTATTATATTTTGTATGAACGGTATATTAATACTTATTATTGCTATAAATGAATAAATATAGATTATATATTAATGTTAACTGAAGTGCATTTTCCTATATATTTAGAAGATAAGTGACAAAAATAAAGCTAATAGAAAAAAAAGACTATTGATCACATTACTGGAAAGAGAAGTTTTGCTCAAGTGAGAGAGAATATGAAGGTTAGTATGATTGTAAAATATGTTAATGTTATAACATATTAATTAAGTGTAAACTTCTTGAGTAATGTATTTATGCAAGTGAGTGTTCTATTTTGCAGAAACAGTTATTGACCTTGCAAGAAGTAGAGTATGATGATGAAAGAACTGACGATGAAAGAGATGTTGATGAACTTAGGAATGATAATGAACCAACAAGAATGGATCTTTTTGCCAAGTGTTATACCAAAAAAGGGGAGACGTCTAATCCCGACATAGCAGATTATTTGGTATATATGATTTTTTTTCGTACTTCAAGAACTGAATCAACCTTTCTTAACCAAACTTATTTGCACAATTTGTGACTTTAGGAGAACTAATTAGAAATATGTGTTGTATATTTGGTGCTATAATGTGATTTATTTTTATGTACAGCGAAAGATGAAAGAACTTGTTAGTGGACTAGCGAAAGATGAAAGAACTTGTTAGTGGACTTCCTCCTGGTGCTAAAGATACGGGCCCGAATGATATATTTTCTCAAGTTGCTGGCAAGATAAAGGGGGAAGAGTAAAGATGTACGGAAAATGTGTCACTGCATCTATTGTATATGGTGATTTGCCTAGGCAAGGTAAATATGCGGCGCACGTATATGGGAAATAAAAATGAATTTGAAGCAATGAAGCAAAGACTTGATCAGCAAGATAAGCTTATTATGGAGCAGAGTAAACAAATACAAGAGCTGATAAAAATGAACAAACAAAGATTAGCACCAGAAGCCACCAAAGTTGTTTCAGTATCTTCATCTCATGATCATTCAATCTCTCGTCATCCTTCAGTATCATCCTCTAGCATGATGCCTTTACGGGTAAGCTGACTACGAATCTCATATATATATATATATACATATATATATATATATATATATATATATATATATATATATATATATATATATATATATATATATATATATATATATATATATATATATATATATATACATATATATATATATATATATATATATGTATATTTTTTTTATTACAATCAGTTTTTATGTTAATACTTTGTTTACGATTAAAAAGTTAATTTTTATTTTGATTCTTTTCTTATAACTTTGTATGTAGTTGAAAAGTCAAGTAAAACTCGATAAATATTAATTGTAGGTCGGAGCAAAAGTATCTATGAGAAGTTTGATTGAATCATCCAAGACTGTGGCTGTTGGTTATATTCGGAGCTTAGATCCATTAAAAGAAGTTGGACAAATGCGTTTAGGAAAAAAATGGTGTGAGGTTCACATTAATGTAGGAGTTGAACCAGAAGAGGAGTTACTTCGCCCTGTTTACCATTTTAAAACTATTGGCGAGGTTACTGGAATGACGGTTGTTTGGCCACAATATTTGGTAATAATGTCGTTTATATGATCTTATGAATAATATTATATTTTAACAGTGTATTGATTTCTGCTTAATTGGTATTTCTGATCATTTTAATAGGTAATTATGGATGCATAAAGAATTTTGAAGACGTAATATTTTTGGATACTTTTGGAGATTAGATTTTCTTAATTTTTTTTGGTGTTGGATTACTTGTTATTCAGACATTACAAAATGAATGATTTTAGATTGTGAAACTTACTCTTTTCTATTATATTATAGGCTAAGGATTTATTCTGTTTGTTGATGGAGATTGAATATGGTTTTTTTTGTATTTGAGTTCAAACACAGTTTCTTATGTATTATGTATATACATGATTAATAATATGTAAGTAGGGGACATTAAAAAATGCAATCAGTAAGATATTACAAATACCTATTGAGACAAGTTGAACAGTCACTATAGGGTTATTCATGAGGCACAAAGCGTCATTATTGATGTATTCATGAGACACAAAAGCATCCTAGAAAGTCTCTGTTGAGACGAATAAATCGTCACAAAAAACCACTTTATGGGGCAGAGAAATCATCACACAATCGAGTGTATTAAGACAACAAAAAGCGTCATAATGTAAATATTTAAAGACGACCTATAGCGTCAAGATTTCTACATTTAGAGACGCTAAAAACCATCACGATACCAACATTTAAAGATGCTCTTTGTCGTCATATAAGTAGGTTGTTATGGTAGTTGATGATTAATAAAGTGACGCATGTAATCATCACGATACATCCATATTTGTGACGACAAAAGCGTCATACTAACAGTCTTTTCGTGATGCCTCCAATCGCCACAAAAACTTATCATGACGGCCACCTATGTGACGCTTTTAACTATCGACGCAATAGACTAAGCGTCTAGATAGGCGGCTGTAGTGACACATTGAGGCGTCACGATAGGTACTTTTTCTAGTAGTGAAGGAGAAGCAAAGCGGCGCAGCTTCGAAGAAGTAAAAGAATTAGGTTTGAAGCAAAAGATGAGGTGGATGGTGGGTGGGTGTAGTTTGTTGAATGGGACAATGAGTTAAAATTCTAATATTTGTAAGACTATTTTTATGGCCCAGCCCAAAGTAGTGGCCTACTTTTAGTATGAAAATATACATATAATCCGGAAAAAATCAGAATTATTTCGGAAAAAATCGGAATTATCCGAAAATATTTTCGGATCTGAATTCGGAAATTCCGTAAATTTCATATCAAATTCCGATTCCAATCCGATTATTTTTTGGAAAATTCGGAATTTGGAATTTCGGAATTCGGACTACAGAAAATCGTTCCAAAATCGGAAATCTTTGGATCGGAATCGGCGGAAATCGGAAACTTCGTTCCGATTTCACCCGTAATTGTGACAGTTCATTGGTTCCAATATAATCTATAATTTTTTTTAGGGAAATCTACATGAAACACGTGAAAAAAAATATAAAGTGCCCTATTTCGTTCTACATAGCACGAAATAAAATAATCCATTTCACGCGTAGCACGAAACATAAATTATATTATTTTTATTTTTGAAATCGATTGATTCAACCTCAAACCTAACCTAAATCGATGCTATTAGGGCACTAAACAACAATCCGATGCTAAATTTACGTAAACAAGTAATCCTTTATCTCAAATCGTTGCCGTAATTGCTCGTTTAACTCCGAATAGTTCGAAAATAGTGTGAGAGGATTTTGGTTCTTTTTTTTTTTAGAGAATTGTGAGGTTTTCTTGTTGAAAAGTTACAAATAAATTAAAGTCACACTGTGTGCTTGTAAATGTACGACTCAAAGAATACGACGAAATGGGTTTTTTCGACTGTTTACCCACCACAAAAAATCGTATCAAAGCCCAAATGTTATGAATAGATTCGAGAAGTTCCGAGAATGTTGTGGAGATATCCCAGCCTATTTTTGGTAAAAACTGGATAAGAAGAAATGTATGTAAAAAAGGAGAGAACAAAGAAAATAAGGGAGCATTAAAACGACGGCGTTTTGTGAAAATCCCCAATATCTTAATTTTCCTGTCCTCGCTTTCAAAAGCTGCGATCATAACATCCCATCAAATTTCTCCGTTCAATCTGCCGCCGTCGCCGCCACCGTCTCCGCCGTCTTGTAAATTTGGAGGTCATCGGTCGATCACGTAATTCAATTCTGATCGTCTCTGCAAGAAACAGTTGTGAAGGAGAGAGAGAGGAAAAAACCTAAGATATAATTAGAGAAAATGGCTGTGAATCCCCAACTTTACCCAAACGGGATGCCTGTACCCTTCGTCAATGAGATATTTGTCTTGGCCAGAGATGGCGTCGAGTTTGAGATCGACAAGATCCCTGGGTTTGCCCCCTAATCTCTCTCTCTCTCTAAAACTCTCTCTCTCTCTCTCTCTCTGATTTTGCAATTCGGTGTTATTTCAATTTGCTGTTTGGTTGCTTGTCGATTTTGGTTGAATCCACGACGAATTAAATCAATCAATATTGGATAACTGTTGTTGATATGGAAATCAGAATAAACCCTCTGTTATGATCAGAGATTACATAACTAACATAATTTTGTTGAACACAAAATATAACTTCATCCTGTTTTTCATTTTTTTTTTTGTTGGTTTATTTGACTCACTTCAATGGCTTCATTGGATAATAAATTCCAACTATTTGCCTCTAATTGAAGAAGGTGGAACTGTTGTTACTTCTCGTCGAATCTTTAACAATTACAACAATTATATATCTATGCTCCAGGCTTGTAGCGTAGTATTTACCAATAATTCGTAGATTTTCCGCTAATGATCAATAAATTTGGGTGTGTCCTGTTAATGTTAATTCCAATATGATCATCCTTCTAGTGCTCTTCTTGATGCCTCGATAGTTTGTCGAAACTGTTGCGCAGTTTATCTATTCTGTCGGACGTCTTTGAAGCTAAATTTCAGGCTTTATCGTCCGTATTTAATGTTTTCTTTTACATGATATATATTATTTTGATTAGGAATCGGATTTTGACTTTTCATTTATTTTTGAAGGTAAAAAGTCGATACAAAATAAAAATGTGTTCAATAATTCATTATTATTCTTATTTTCCTCTTTTTTTCTCAACTACCGAACAAAATTAGTGAAATTGATTTTCCATAAAATCATTTTCGTTACTATTTTTATTAAGAACCCGTTTTCTTTTTCCTCATTTCGAAATCCATGAACCAAACGAAGCCTATAAGCAATATATTGTACACTGATAATCGTAAATGGGTTTTTTCGTGTTTTACACACTCAGGAATCAAGGTGGGAATGTTAAAGGTAAAGGAACGATCTTCTTGTCAAATATCCGAATGGTCTTTGTTGCAAGCAAACCTGTTGGGAATTTTGTTGCGTTTGATATGCCCCTGGTATGTATTATATATCACCACCCTCGTTTGCCACTCTTAAAACCATTGCTGTAATAATTGTTACCGTTGTGCCACATAGACCTATTGTTCGCTCGGGTAGTTTTGCATTTTCTCTGAAAGTCGTTGCTTTCAAATATATGAGAGCATCCTGAGGAAAGCAAATTTTCGCCCGAATCCATTGTTGAGGAGCTATTTTGCTTCAATTTCTTTTAATTTAAAAAAAGAAAAGAAAAAAGAAAGAATGAAAGATTCAGTTTCGGCTCTGGTATCATATACAAGTTTTTGTGGCGGGAGATATGTAGAGCATGAGTTGTTAGTGTAATGACGATACTTTGTAGGGCAAATTGCGGCCACCCCCTGAGGTATGGTCAAATTACAAAAAAACACCTCTTGCTTGGGTAATTACAGCCACCCCCTCTTTTTAAATATTTTTACATAAAATTTATGTAATTCGGTTATTTATCGAACCAAATCGTATATTCAGTTCGGTAAACAGTATGAAACGTTGGCGTACCGAAATTTCGGTCCGGTTTTACCGATTTAGCATCCCTAAATTTACCTATAGAGGGGTTTTTTCGTAAGATAATACTTGAGGGGTGGCTGTAATTACCCAAACGGGAGGGGTTTTTCGTAATTTGACCATAACTCAAGGGGTTGCCGTAATTTGCCCTACTTTTTATCTTGTTCGGTTTTCATGCTTCTTGTGTTTAATTTGTTGGATTTGTTCGGTTTTTAATCCAGCATTGGAATTTCTGTTGCAGCTCTATGTTCATGGAGAAAAATTCAACCAGCCAATTTTCTATTGCAACAATATTTCTGGGCGTGTTGATCCTGTAAGCCCAAATAACTTGCAAATATTTCGATCTTCTTCTATGTTCTTATACTTATTATATATATATATATATATATATATATATATATAAACATGTCTGAAACCCGTTATCGCAGGTTGTGCCTAGTACAGAACACCAGGCTTTATATTCAGCGCATTCGTTCAAGATTCTGTTCAAAGAAGGCGGTTGTGGAACTTTTATCCCTCTCTTCTTCAACTTAATTGCTTCTGTCCGACAATATAACCGACATGTTAGTGCAGAGGCCGTACAGCCACGAGTGGATCCTCTCCAAGCATCACAAACTCCCGTCGATGAGATGATGAGACACGCGTACGTGTTTACACTTATTTATTCTCTTTTTTGATTTAAAATTATTCGTTGATTTTTTTTTATATTGTAATAAAACAATGTGTTCGTTTTGCAGATACGTTGATCCTAATGATCCGACAAGAATTTTCCTGCAGCAGCCAAATTCAGAGAGTCAGTTGAGGCGCCGTACATACCACTCTCAAAATACCGACAACTAAATATGATTATTATTTACCGACTTCGCCTTTTGTGTATTCTGTTGAACTCGAAGTCAAAGCCCTGTTTTATGTATTTGTTCATCAGTGTCGTCTACTACTACTACTACTACTACTACTTCTACTACTACTTTTATTTGTGACGTCGTCAGATATTTAAGGTTATATTTGAATGTGATGAGTTCAGACAAGGATTTCAAATTTATAATATATATGTATATTTTTTTAATTATTGAACTTTGAATGGACTCATTTGTTTCGTGCGATACGGATCGCATAAACTGCTGCATGAGCCTCTGCAACCACAGGTTTTGGATTACCAGAAAAAGTCCCAACACTAAACCAAACACATTAACCATCCCACGTCCCACCATGGCGACTCTGTAATAGTTTCTAACTCTGTAATAATTTCTACGGACCAAACACGTGCCACCAGAAAATTATGTGATTTAGGGGCTATTTGAGAAACTCCTCAATACTTCTTTTAATATAGTGATGTGTCAACTCAACATTTCACTCTTTCCTTTCTTTTACTATCTCAAAATAGTCTTTCCACTATCTTCTTCTCACTACTCATATCCCCATTTTTTTTGTAATTAATTTTTCGTTTTTAATTTTTAATTTTAATTTATAGTTTTTTTTTTATATTTTTCTGTTAGGGTACTAATCGATTATGATATTAATCGACTAAGACATAGTTGATTAACGAACTGACACCTAAAATTGTGGTTACATAATGAAATTGACTATTAAAAGCAACAAAAACAACTGTAATGCCGCAATGAAAGCCCAATACAATTCAACAAAAAAAGTCCAAACAAATAACCAACAGAAAAAAAAAAAAACAAAAATCAAATACTTTTTACAAAATAACAAATATACAAAAAATGTATTGATTTATACAAATCGGACGATGGATTGACAATGGCAGAACACAAATACACCACCGATGTAGCCCATGTCCAACTACACTTGACGAAATAGGGAATCAATATCCAACAATTAAAAAATGAATTAAAAAACGTAGAGATTAACCTTAACCGACTACTCACGATTAAACCTTAATCGACTATTGAACATAGTCGGTTAAGGGTCCAGCCTCTGCGAATTTCTCTATCCACGCCATCCTGTGTTCGATATACCCAAAACTGCCCACATCGTCACCACGTCGTCGCCACACCACACCATCACCATCCCCTACCATTAACATCATCCGCCTCACCATGTTCACCTTCAACATCTCCCCGCCGCTGCCACCACCAACAAACGCCGTAATGCCAGAATTTCCACATCCAACCACCAACAAGTTATACCAACTATAAGTATCTCCGCTCTTGTACTCAATGGTATGCACGAACTCACCATTGAACTCCTCCGCCCCTTCAATCTCAGAGAGAAGAAGATAAAAAATGAGAAGAAAAGCAGATCAAGAGAAAAAACAAAAAGAATGACGTGAGAAGGGTGAAAAGAGAGACGACAGATTGAGGGAAAAAAAGGATGAATGAAGTAACAAAAGGGAGTAGGGGTTAAGAATATGAGTACAATGGGTAGTTTACCTTTATTAATTACCAAGCTAACAACAAAAGAGGTTTTCTCTAATTATTTTTTTGAATGAGTTTTTTCTTACATATGGAGATTTCAAAACTGCAAACTGCGAACGATTCTTGCCATTTGATTCATAGCTATGGCAAGGTAGGGCGAAGCTATTGCAAATATAAATTTTAAAACTGCAAACTGCGAACGATTCCTAACAATAGCAGGGGAGGGACGAAGCAATTGCAAACAAAGATTCAAAACTGCAAACTGCGAACGATTTTTAATTATGGAATGGCATGGACAAAGCAATTTTTATTTAGACCTCTTTGATTTTTCTGAAATTAATTAAAGATTTGGAAATAAGGAATACCAATATTGATTACATATCTTTTCGGGAGAAATTTCGGGATTAAAGATTATACAAAGTAGGCTATTAATTTGGAGATTTTTATTTCCATATATTATTACGGGTATTTTTAACATAATAATTACAATATATTTACTTAAAATTAAGAGTTATTAGTTGGTAATAATAACTCCAGCAGTTGTGCTAAAATTTATCACTTCTTATCAAATTATTGATAAGGAACGTCAAATTGGATTCGTGTTGCTAAATAACTATTTAATTCGGAGAAGAGTTATTAATGGACATTGGTGGAAATATCGAAAGAAATTATGGAAAAATAAGGGTTTTCGAAGAACTCAAATTGTATTTGCGTACGAAACGAACTCTATCTCAAGTGAAACGGCGCAAGGAACAAAACTCATGAGCAAAGCTCATGAATCACGTCCAATTTTAGCAATCCAACGTCGTTTAGACTCCTAAAAGTTCGTTTTTGCTATTTTAGGAAAGTTTTAGAAAATTAATATCAAATCATAGAAAAATCGGATTAGGATTCCGTAAATTAGGTTGTTCCCAAAATTACGAGATCTACTAGAATCAGACTCTAACTCGTTTTTGCCGTTTTTGGTAATTTTTAGTATTTTCTTATTTTAATTAGGGTTTTCAGTTTTTTAGTATAAATAGCTGCCTTAGGACTTTATTTTGGAAGAATTTCGAAATTTAATAAAATCCTTAGAGTTTTCTCTATTTTTCTGGTGGATTCCAGAGTTTTCGATGGATTCCGAATGTTATTTTGTTCTATAGGATTAATTCGTAGAAATTAATTCTTTACCGTGCTTCCGTTCTGCGTCAGTTGGCATCAGTAGCGAGGTTTTTCTTAGTTAGATGGCGAAAGGTGCGAAACATGGAGACAAAAACTACGTTGACGATGACCGCGGGGTTGATAAACTGCAAGATCTGCGGTTGGTGCGCGAGGGATTTGCCCTTGACAACAACAACAGAAGGACTGGATCTAGCATGATGATTGCCGACGGTGTAGCCCGAGGTGCATATGTTAGGAACAATTATCATCAACCTGTTCAACTTCAATCAAGGTATGACGACTATTCAAAGGCGCGGCAACTCTGATTTTGAAGAAAATCCGCCTATAAGGAGGCAAAAGGATCGTGATAAAAATCGGGTAAGAGCTGAAATTCCTTCTTTTAGTGGAAATTTTCTTGAAGTTGAGGATTTTATCGACTGGGTGTCAGAAGTCGAAAATTATTTTGAATTGATGGATATTTTGCCGAATAAGATGGTAAAATTGGTTAGGTGTGAGTTAAAGGGTTGTGCAGCCGCATGGTGGGATGAAATACAGAGGAAGAGAGCTAGACAGGAAAAGTTTCCAATCCAATCATGGAGGAGGATGAGAAAAATGTTGATGGATCGTTTTTTACCCTTAGGTTATGAGCAACGTCTATTTCAACTATATCGTAATTGTTCGCAAGGGTGTAGATCTGTTAACAAGTATACTGCTAAGTTTATGAGACTAGCAAACTTAAATAACCTGCAAGAATCCGAAAGTATGGAAATTTCAAAGTACTTGCAAGGATTGAATATTTCAATCCGTCTTAGGATGGGGTGGCGCGCATTCGACTCTCTTGAAGAGGCTCAAGAGTTAGCATGTAGGGAGGAATATTATCAGAAGCGAAATCGTTCTTCTAGAAAAACTGAAGATGTTCCACTCGTTGTCAAAGTTAAGGAGGTACAAGATACTTCGTTCGTTATTGAAGCATCCAGTTTGGTGGGAGATCATGGCGTACGAGTTAACGAAGTTGAAGACGAAATTGTTGATGCAAAAGTTAAAATTAACGTAGCTATGATTAACGATGACATTAACGAAATCAAGGTGAAAGTCGATGAAGTTGAAGGGAGAGTCAACGAGGTTGAAGAGAGCATCAACATAGTCGAAGAGAGCGTCAACGGGGTAGAAGAGAACGTTAGCAAGGTTGAAGAGGGAGTCGATGAGTTTCAAGAGGGTGTTAAAAACAAATTTGAGGAAGAATTTGAAGTTGTAAAATTTGTTCAAGAAGAGGAAGGTGCACGTGAAGAGAAGGAACAAGTGGATTGCGTTGAGGTATGTGATCTAATTGTAGATAGTGTTTGCTGTGAAGTTCCTGAATCGGAGAAATTGGTGGAGCCATTGAGATTTTCAATTGAGAAGCCAATTTTTCCAACGCCTCGTTTGGATGAAGATTTTGTAAGCGAGATTTTTGTGCCGGGAATATTGGTGGAGCACTTGAAGTTGTTTCGAAAGAAATATTGTTAAGTGTATATTTTTACACTTTATCGTATCTTTTTATTTGAGCTTTTGGTGTGTTTTAACGATAATTGGTGCTTAAAAAGTTGATTTATTGTATTTTAGGTACAAATTGAAGAATTGGAAAGTATGGGGTCAAAACTGCAATTTTGGCAAAAATATGGGTCAAAAGTGAAAATATCAAAATTCTGAAGATTTAAGGCTCGGACCCCGTCCCAATTTTAGTGCAAATTGTGGGACCCCCGTCCGACACTCCGAAGTTGCGCAGTAAAGGGATTTTAATTGCACAAGGAAACTGCCTTCTTCCCCAAGTTCTTCACCCTATATAAGACCAAGCCAATCACACAATTGGGGATCCATCTTGGGACGCAAATTCAAGAGCAAAGAAGATCAACGAAGATCCAAGCATAGTTTTTCTTATTTAATTAATTTATTTTATTTTATTTATCATAAGAATTACGAGTAGCTAAGTCTTTATTTCTAGGATTTTATTTGGAACCCCATGTGGGATTTATGAACCCAATTCTATGATTTTATGCAAGTTTTGATTCCGGATTATTTCTTCTACTTGTTTTATTCAGTGCATGAACTTGATCAACTTATGTGCTTTTATGTTATTGTTAATCGCATGAATCGGAAGATCGGGTTAATAATTAGAACTGTGGTAGAAGAGCCTTTGTGGTATTAACATAGGAATATAGTTAATCTCTTAGGTAGCCATTATTGAGATTTGTGCTTAATGCTGTGTTCTAGAATTAATTGCATAGGAATATAGTAATTGAATCTAGAATATTAGTATCGTAATACACGCGGAAGCGAGTTATGATTATTTTAGCATCTCTGGTTAATAATCCGGGTTAATTGCTTGCATAATTAGAGGAATTGGGGGAGTAATAATCACATAGGGGAAGAATAAAATCCTAGGCTTGTCTACTTTGATTAATCTTCGTTTTTAAATTTTCTTTCTTGCTTTGTCGTTTTAATTTGCCTTTTAATTTATTTTAGTTAATTCTCTCTAAAGTCGACTGTGTAGGGTGGGCTTGATATTAATTGGTAGAA